GAAATAGGAAATATAATGCTATTCCGCTGAGAAAATAAATCTTTTCTGAAAAGAACATAACTTTTGTAATGCAATATTTATTGAGCTTACTTATATCTTATTTTCAGTTTCATTCTTCTACCTAATAAGATTTTTCCTAATATTTTTTCCAATTTGTTTGCTAGTTTCCTGCAAGTGAACAGAATTTGTTACATGATGGTGAGCATCTGTATTCCTGTGATATGTGTCATAAATCATTCAATCTTCGAAGTACACTGAAGAATCATCAACACATTCACAATAGGGACCATCCATATTCCTGTAATGTGTGTAATAAGTCATTCAGCAGTAGAGGTAGATTGAAGATACATCACCGTATACATAGTGGGGAGCGTATACTATAGGTTCCACCCATAATCTCTCCTATGTCCAAATATTTCTGTAAGTACCTGGTTTTCAGACACTTCCAAATTATGTTTCAGAATAACTTCAAACAATGGTATATTATAAGACCAAAAACTTCTTGGACATTATACATCATCCCAAGTAAGTGAGATTTCAGTTTCTTATGGTGGCAAGTATGAAGATACCTGTCTTCTGGGTTGTTGTACTATGTACTTGATTATAATTCTTCACCCTGATGATAAAGGAGGCAGCAAGCATGTCTGAAATGTCATCATACTTCTGCCAGACTACAGGGTGTAACAACCCAGAAGACAGGCATCTTCGAAGAGAGTAGTTTGTACTTGAGGACGGACACAGACTCCAATCTACGAAACAGCTTGTTTTAATTAAATTAGGATGATGGCTACTGCCCAAGAAAATTTATTTTAAGACATGACATCAGTTTTTAAATGAGTAAAAGAGTATATACAAGCTTATCCAAAATTTATTCTTCATGAATATTTGACCTCTTAATAGTAAAATTCCAAAACTAAGGGCTGAGACTGTGATGTACTGCCAACTAGTCAATCCTACTGCACGCTGCAGGGGCAATGATAAAGCTGAATGTATCAAACTCTGTAGAATGATAACTTATAGGGGTAAACCTAAGCACTCTGAGGGAAATCTAGCCCATTGCCACATTTTTACACCACAAATACCACTCAGGGATTGAACCTGGGCTTCTGCAATGATAAACCAGTATCTAATTGCCAAAATGTGGATCAAGCATGGTCTTATAAAATAAGTATTCTGGTTAGTAAGTAAATAAGGAATTATGGAAAGGATATGATAATATACTTCACTAGACATGGAATACTGAAAGAACAGAATGCATCTGTCACAATAAACTTGAAAAGTGTAACTTTGTTTCTCATTCAAAACAGAATGCATCTGTCACAATAAACTTCAAAAGTGTAACTTTCTTTCTCATCCATACAGAAGAATATAGATTGTTGAATGCATTTGAGAATGAAGTGCTAAAAAAAATATATGAAACAAAGAGAATGTAACAGGAGAATGGTGGAAATATTATTTGGACAACTGAATCAAGAAAGAAAACATCATTAAGGAATGTAGGTTGCATAAAGAGACCACAAAATTGAAGGGATTTTGCTGCTGTATGGAGTTAGCTCATAGTAACTAGAGGTGAAGAATGGCAACTCATGTGACTCTCTGAACAGGGCAATTAGGAGCACACATGGACAAATTGGTGTCATTGCTCACAGTAATAATATGCAGATGAACACAGTTCCGTGGGAGCCAGTCATGTGGCAAGCATGATACATATGTTTTGCTGTTCTCCATGGATTGTTGAACACAAGGATGACAGACGACTGCACATAGACGAACTTGAAATAACTTACTGGCTTACATGTATTGTGTCTAATGAAGCTGTATCGACTAAATCACAAAAAAGATTCATATTTGTTCTGATTCAAAATGAAGCATCACTAGAATGGTAGCTGACTCAACAGGTGTCAGATAAGTTCTCTGAATGATAACAATATCTGTGTACTGTCAATACCTGTGTAATTACCTGTAATGTGCATACACCCCACATGATTTAAGAGGCTGGGATAAAGGATCAGTTTTTGACCACATCATTCTGGTACTTTACTTGCAGACCTGAATGTAAATACAGTGTAATTATGATAGTAACAACAGTTGAGAGTCATCAGTGATAACTGAATTAATGACAAGGTTTTAATTTAGAAAGAATCTACAAAATATAAGGGTTTGAAGAGAAGTGAGGTTATTTTAATAACAGTCCTAACATGAGTTTGTTGGTGTAAATATAAATAGTGTTAGAATGTTATCTAGATATTTTTATATACTTCAGACATTAACCTTTATTGTACAAGGATATAGGATTTAAATGCCATGCTAGAGGCTGCCATTCACACTCGTGGTTTAAGGAGATATGCACCTGCAATACACAGCAAGATGTAGGTTACATAAACCATGACAAATGACTACAGAAGGCAAAGTAATTCAGGTATGAGTATTACTTAATGAGTTCTGAAATGCCAGCTTGTTTTAATAGTTAGTCCACATGAGTTAAAGACAAATGGTCCTCATTACCAATTCTCTTGAAACAGTTTTCTGTTTAATCTAGTCTTGGTAAGGCATAAATGTAGCAAATACAGGAAAATAAATTCTATTTAAAATCTGTGTTTGACCTGAAGCACTTTACAAGAGTAACTCAGTACAATGAATAAACTTGGACTAAGCAACCGGGGTACAATTCTATTCAGCATGGGAGCAGATTTCCTCTTTACCACTGCAGCCAGCCCAGTCCTGTAGACTCCAGCTAGTTCTTAGGTAAAGAATGTGTAAAGCAGTACCTGCACACCCATACTTCTTCATGGCGTGATCCTTATTCAGCACTTTATCTTTAATTGTCACAATGAGTGGGTAAATTTACAGAGAACTTGTGGCCTAGGTTAAAGGCATTGAACATGTTTGCCAAATGTCCTGGGAATGAGATCAGCCAGATCCAGTTCAGAATGCGTCAACAGTCTTCTTTCCATTATCTAATGCTCCACTCCTACCATACTTAGTACATAATTAAAACCTAACACTAATGCCACCATATAAAAAGATTAGCATGCACTTATATGCCCATAAATGCATGTTGTTGAACTAACAGTGTCAGCTCTATGAATGGTATAGAATATGTACATATAGCTGACAATAAAACTTACTCTGTAATGTTGTACCAACTGTATCAATCTGTCACCTGGGAAACAAATTATTGTGAAGCTTCTGTTTAGAGATAATCATTGAATTGTGATGAAATATCAGTTTCTTATAGAAACGTCTGCCTGTTGGGAGTAAAAACACAAATGCCACAGATGGAACTGGGTAATTCCGGGTTGAATGGAAGACTGAGAAAAATGAGAAGTAGAAAATTTTTGCCATTAATTAAGCAAGTTCACATATATTTACTTTTAAAATATAGAGTTAGATCCTTGCAGTATCAGAGTTTCAAAATTATTCACAAGTGCCCTTAGATGGGAGAAGGAAGAGTATAGTTGAAATTGGGAAGGTTGAATATTAACATTCTTACCAACTCCCACTACTGATATTTCCATTGTGCTTGCACATGTGATTCAGAGCTGACAGGATGCTGTGTTGCATATTTTTATGCAGGTCATCTGTGAACTAGAAATAGTTGTGACATTATCCTGGTCAAACCACTTGAGCGGCGCTCATCCCGACTCGACAATTTTGCATTTTGTATTCCCAGGCATGTCAAGTGACCCATGTGAAAAATATGAACATTAGGCTGAATAATATTTGCTACTCTCAAATGACTGTGATCTCAATACTTTTATATACCCATATTCCCTGTGGAAGGCAATTTTAAATTGTAAATATAACCATGGAAAATATAAACTTGGGAAACACAAGATATGAGGAATAACATTTAAATAATGATACAGGAATTATAATAGTACATAGACATAATTTTCTGTATATATTTTGTTGGTCTGTGACACAGTTTACTGCATATTACTACACTAGGTTTCACACAAAGGATATTTGGGCCTAAGAGAGAAGACGATGGGACATGGAGAAAACTGCATAATGACGAGCTTAAAAATTTGTACTCCTCCCGCAGTATTTACAGGGTGATTAAGTCAAGAAGAATGAGATGGGCAGGGCATGTAGCGCACATGGATGGGGCAAGAGGTGTGCACCGGGTATTGGTTGGGAAGCCTGAGGGGAAGAGACCACTGGGGAGACCTAGACGTAGATGGGAGGATAATGTCAGGCGGGATCTATGGGAGATAAGAGTTGAAGGAGACTGGTATTTTGTTGGCCCAGGACAGGGTCCGGTGGAGGGCTTTGGTTAATTCAGTCATGAACCTTCATGTTCGGTAAGCCATCTAGTTAGTTAGGTTTCACACAAAAAGCCAGATGTTTGTTGGTTGTGTGCTAGGAAGGATTGTCATGCAGTGAATGTTAACCTAAAGGTAGTATTTCCCACAGTTTTACAAGTGGGGGATTAATTGTAAAGTTTAGGAATAAGTAATGGACAAAAGTGATATAGTTTTACATAGACAAACTAGCAATTTAAATTTCAAGGCACATATGTTTATTTTATGCATGAAGCAGAAAGTTAACCAAAATGCGCTGCTGGTTCACATGGTGTTTCACTAAAAAATGCAATAAATTGAGGGAAAGTATTTCACAACATCACAACCTTGCAAATGTCTTTGTGCAACAAACTCCCACTCAAAGATTGCTGTCTTCTGGGTTATTGTGCCATGTAGTCTGGTAGATTGATGAATCATCACCCTGATGATGGAGGCAGTATGACCTCTGAAATGTTGGTGGAAATCTACCATACTACATGGCACAATAACCCAGAAGACAGCAAATCTTCAGGCTCACCACTGTGAAAACCTCAAATCCTACATAAACTGCCACTCACCTGCCACCTTCTATGATACTTGGTTTGAAGCATACAGAACTTCTGTCTATAGATTACAGTGCTCAAATCCTACATAAACTGCCACTCACCTGCTACCTTCTATGATATTTGGTTAGAAGCATACAGACCTTCTATCTATAGATTACAGTGCTCCATTTGTATACAATTCATGTCATCTAATGCGCTAATGGTAACACAAGTACATTGTACATAACAATGTAATGAAATTTTACAAATATAATCAGTATGTTGTCCAATTAGTGATCTCCGTATGAATGAAATTTACCCAAAATGCAACAAAACTGAATTTCATTACTTTGGAGGGCAGAAATATGCAGGCTGCCTCACAGGTGAACTGGCAAAGACATAATGTACCACTTTTGTTGAGATTTATCCAGTTACAAAAGTACGTACACAAATATAGACCAACTTTGTTCTGAGGCATATCTATACAATATATTCAGGTACGGACCACTTGGTTCTTAATTACTAAATGAATCACCATGTATTTAGTACATTCCCAACATACTCCCTCTTGAGTTTTCAGTAAAGATTGAAACAGTATAATATAATATAAATATTCATTTTATCCTCCTGAGTTGTTAATAATTTTCAATGCACATATAATAAAGGCATAGCCACTATGCTTTCAAGTAACAATCACAGTTAGTTTCTCTTACATATTTAAATTGAATATTATAATAATTTAAGGTCCACATATAAATAAAAATCCTGTGTTCACCATATGAATCCAGTCTAAACATGAAACTTGATTCTGTCCTGACATTACAATATGTTTGGGTTTGAGTTTTCATAAAACATTATTATAGCAAAGCAGTGGCTTTTAAATTTGAAATATAATCAAATATATTACAATGCTGATAAAACATCTGAATTTACAATCAATAATTACTTATTAGCACTGACATGGACAGTGATACTTGAAATTAAGAACACAGAAATTAAAAGGACTTATCCTATTTAGCACGATGGAAAAAAATTGATCTCACATCGTAGTTCATCTATAGTAATTGTGAAACAAATTTTTTTAATTGCACACTTTCTACTTGATGAGTAAGCTTTATATCTTTAGTATCATATATGCATGAACACGTTTGTGCTTACATCTGTGTTTCTTACTATAAGGCATGATGCTCTACTTGTTTATCTACCAGGTAACTAACAACAATATGATTACAACAGTCTATTGCTTAATTAGTACGTCACTGACAGTTGTTTTCTTTTATTTCCTGAAATAAAAACATCACACAAGATAAAACCTAAACACATGTTCTTCAATCTGTTATTATCATTGTCAAGTATTCTTGCTTAAATTGTTTTATTAAAACTGATACAAGTCTACAAATAAAACGTAGACTGTGCAGAAGTCCACTTGGATAATGCAGGGAAAGTAAATAAAAGATAATACAAACTAATAAATATTAATTCCTACTAACAAAACTTTTGTACAAGAAATCTAAAACTTTATTATATATACTTTTATGAAATGACACAAAAGTGACAGTGTTGCTTTCTGCTAAGGGAAATGCAAATCAGAACTAAATCACATGGCATACATATTAATACTATCAGTGATGTGGGAGCATATAAAGCTTTCAATTTATTTTACAAAGGTTTAAGCTGCTTTTTATATAAATCACTTATCCATTAGCATATGGTTCATTTTATATCTCATATTCTCATACTCTTATTTCAGGAAATATGACAAGAATCATGTAATTGTATTCAAGCCAGCCAAAAACTGCTCATAATAAAACAATATTTATATTCAAAGACTAGACAATTAATATTGCATAAGAATTTATTACATATAGATTTATCCATTTCCTCCAGACGTCATATTCTAATTATTTTTCATGCACTCTACTCCTATAGCTAGTAAGCAAAATGTACTGTCTATATACTTATACTAAATTTCAGCAGTTTTTATTGATCCCTTTATTAGTACCTTAATCATAGTAATTATACTATTTTGCTAGTATAAGCCACAATGGATTAATTTTATAGTTTAAAAATGTGATGTGCCATACAGGTGGTCTACACACATCGGCCTCAGTATACAATGAACATTCTTGCAAACTGGTTATTGATATTTATAGAATCTCAAGATGTGACCTATAATATCCAACTTATAAACAGTTCAGAAGAATTTAAAGATAAAATTCTTCTGAAATACAAAGAGTTTACCAGACAAAAAGCATCATCAGAAGCCTCAATATTCTGGACTTCTTTTCCTCTCACTGGACAACATAGTAACTCTTTACGTAATTAATATTTAAATTATTTTCAGGTGACCTAAATGTTATTTGCAAATGTTGTTCAGAGTTACTGAAGCAGTTAACATTGGCCATATTAATCACACTGAAAGATATCACATTTCTATTGCACTCATTATTGATACATACTACGCCCAACTGTGGGGATCATTGAATAATATTAGCAAAAGGATGTAAAATCCCATAGTGCAAAATAATTTACTTTTTAAAATACTGATTTACATATATTCAACTACATTAATGTAGTTGTAACAGCCCACCTGCGTGACTGTAAACACTGCCACATGAATTTAGGAGTGCAGAATATAACTATCTGTTTAGTAAGTGAAAAAAAACTTGTTCACTGAAATTTTACATATTATGTGAAGCATGGTGCAAACAGAAATGTGCCATCATGTCACACTTACTTAAACAGAGCCACATTCTCGCAGCTCTCGGTTGCCAAGAGGCAGAGGTGGACGATAGTTGTTGATTACGAGTCCCTCTAGTTCATCACAAGGACAGGCTTCTTCAGGTTTGTAGCATCGTAGACTTCGGAATGCGGATAACTGTAAATGAGAAGTGCCAATTTTTCAACAAACTTAGTTAATATGAATTTCATTATGCAATTGTAATCATGCGTACTGTAAATCTAAAGTCAGCTGTCTTGAAAAATTGATAGGCACTCAACTGATCAAGGAGCCACAGGTACATTACCAAGTTTGCAGAAGCCTGTCACCAGATCCTATCATGATCCATTTCATTCAAGCCTACCCTTCCACAAACCATTTTTCAAAAAACCATTTTGGTATTATCCTCCCATCTGCACTGAGGTTTCCTAACAAAAACTATATATGCATTTCTAACTTCATGATGCAATTATAGTTTTGTATATTTTCATCTTTAGGCATTTATATAGCTGAAAGTAAATTAAAAATTTTGAACACAATACTAGCAAGCGTTTCCATAGTTGAAAATAACGTCTGTTTGTTATTGTTGTTGCCAAAGTATTTGAACAGTTTCATTACCAAATGTTTCACTGGCTATCACATCATGATCGTTACCTGCATTCTGATGGAGAGACATAAACAAATACTACAGTCATTTTTCCATTCTGCATTTTTGATTTAAAACGGTTGAAGAATTTACCTGTGTGCCACATTTTCTTATATAATTTTAATGTAGTTATACAGTAAGTAAGAGCAATATCACAGATAACAACAGGGCACTAATGATGAATGATGGACATGATGTCCCTTTGAATGTTAACATAACATTAGAGACAACTATATAAACATTTTACATGAATAAATGACTATTAATGACTGTATTTGTATATCATCTGTGAGTTTAACCCTCTTTTATGCAAAATTAGTTTTTATTATTCAAATATTTTAAAATGTTTAATTTTTATATGTTCTGATCGCAGACCACATAATTCTAATCAATAAATTCTGAACATATGAAGACAGATACATAGATACGAGTGCAGTGCAAGTTAAAGAAAATCACATATAACGAGACCAGTGTACCTGTGGCAGCGTCTTTTTATAACATTACCCATAGCTATACAAATCTTATGCTTCATTCTCCTAGTCCTGCTGTGCCATCATAGTCTCCCTTCTTCTTCCTTCCCAATTTAAATTCCTCACATGACTTGAGTTTACTGCTGGACAACAGCTTTTTGATCCAAAATTCTTAAAGTTTTTCACACCACCAACTTCCAGCATTTTTCATGCCTAGTACATTGTCACAAGTCCACCACTGGTCACAGAATTATGAACCTAATGCTTTCCTACATTCAGTGTAGGATGTAAAACAAGTGTGATAATTTGTGTGCAGTTCTGTGTCTTAGTACGAAGACACTCTTTTAGAAGTTCTGGATGGTTCAAGCCATTACATTAACAACAGCTGGTGATAAAAAATTCCTGTCGCTGTATTTAATTTCTTTGTCCACAAGAGACAGTTTATAATGGCACAAAGTTTCAGAGCACAATGAATGGTGGGAATTTTCTTATCTAATAAACAATTATTGAAAAATGTATCCCATATCATCTTATAGCATTGCTTGTAAATCTGTGGTGCTGTCTCTTATTTGCCTTCTAATAGCAGAATGAAGGGAATGAAATTATATGTTCTCACCTCCCAGTCCTTTCAACCGTGTGTGTGTGTGTGTGTGTGTGTGTGCATGCACACATTTTCATCCCCTAACCACTGACAACTGACAAGTTCCCCAAGGTACCACCCCTTTCACAGTTTGGGATGACCCTCTGTAAGAGAATGGCAAGTACAGCCTGAGCCTGTGTACCTTTGTTTAACCATTAATACATAAATGATAATATATTTTATAAATGACAAAAGATATAAAATGTATGTAATTGAATTGGTACACAGTACTGGGTCATGACTGCATCGAAGTCAGGAAAGTTAATGCTCGGTGGTGATGCTATGTCATGGGATTCCTCTGAAGATCTGCTGTATGTTGATAATGTGTCCATCTGATGTTGTTGCTCATAGGCGTCCATACCTCATTACTTGGTCTTGCCATGTGTCCAGTCACTTTCTTGGACTTTCCCAGTTATGGAAACCCTGCAAGGCTGTTCTGGCTTGTGGCTGGAATCCACTCCAAAAGTCAGGTCAAACACTGAGAAACTCATTGGTGCCCTGTTGATTGTAATATAAGGCAGCCTGACATTCTTTGGTGATGATGATATACAACAAGCGCATTCAATGAGCAGTGTATCATCTAGCTTGGTCAATAAAATTTGGCTATTGAGTAATGATGCATATCATGCAGGTCTCATCTGGCCGTCATAAGGGTGGCTACGCATTTCAGTTCTCGTGCTGAGTTGTGGAGTCTGTGCATCGGGCGTTAATACTGGTCTGAGCTGAATGCCATCCAAGAAGTTGGCCCATACTCCCATACAAGAGCCTCTGGATCGTCCAATGATGTAACCACTGGGGGCAGTGTTCTGGCACTGGTAAGCACCCAGAGGCAGCAGGTGGATTGAGTACATCTCACAACTGTCAGATTGCTACTTGGATAAGTTCTTGAATTTCTGTGCATATTTACTCAATTAACAGTGAGGTGTGCATCTTGGGGTTTATTTCCAATTCTGATGTGGAGCAATGTGCCCTCGTTCCAGAGGAACTTCCTGGTTTACAGGCTGACATTGCTGTATTGACCATCCATTCTCTTCTGTACATGCCTGACACATCATAATTACACATTTTCTGTTTTGCTGTCATGTGTCTGGTGCTTAGCTACTACCAGTTCAAGTATATTTAGTATATTTCAACCCACACTTCTCAATGACTATGACAAAATAGGTGTGTTGCACATCCATCCCTCCTGATAGACCTTCATAATTCTTTTTGTGTGCAGGTACAATTTCACAGCAAATGTTGCTCATTGCTGCAGTGTTGGTCACTGGTGACTATGGAATCAATAGTATGTAATTTTTACATTTAGTCACTGGATTCCTGGTGCCTGTATCTCAATGGTCATGACTTCCAGGGGATTTGGCTTCTCTTTTTGTGTTCTACATATTCCTGTTGCATGTGTCCATCATTTTCCCCACAATGCAAATTAACCTACATAAAAGCATCTCATGCCTGCTCCTCAGAAACTTCAAATTGATCCAACTTAAGAAATTTTCACAGCTGCTGAATAATGGTCCTCAGGAAGCTCAAAATGATGTAGTATGTGGAAGTTTTGTGCCATAAATCTGTTCCATTGTAAATTCAATATGTTATGTACCACATGTTACATACCTGCTCCTCAGAAACTTCAATAGGTTCCTTGAAGAGTATCCAGGTAACACTTTCAGAGCAGGGGGGTGTAGTCAGGGAGCCTAGGTATGTCCAATAAGAGAATGTTCCTGAAAAAGACAGAAGAAACATAACTTTACACAATTCCTTTTTTTGAAAATGTACTTATAACTGTTTCTTTTGCACTCTCTACAGTGACACAGATGGAGTTCCTTTGTAGTTCACTTTCTCTTCTTAAGGAAAGGTCACCATACTGCCTTTGCATCCCTCCTTTCAACTTTTCAAATATTTGAATATCATACCCACAATCAGTTATAACTACATGGCAGATATGAACTTGTGATGTGGGAATAAAACTAATGACACTTAATACTGGGTCCTGAAATTATATATAGTAACATATTTACAGAAAATGTGAAATAAAACTGTAACAATTATTATTATGTATGGTCTGCCTGGGAAAATATACAGGATAACATGAAAAAATTTCAGCTGAGCAGAGTGTGGGTTATCATAAAATTTTGCAAAATAAAGCATAGTTTGATGAAGAATGCTCTATTTTGGTAGGATGGAAGAAGCAGGTTAGATTGCAATGGCTGCAGGCCCGTACTCGAATAAACAGGGAAAGATGTCAGCGCAAGGCATGAAACCAGCAGAACTTTGATGAATAAGAGAGAGTATCTGAAAGATGAGATAGGTGAGTTGGAAACCAACAGCAAAAATAAAAACATCAGAGAGTTGTATAGAGGCATAAGTGAATTTAAGAAGGGGTACAAACCTAGGACAAATTTGATCAAGGACGAGAATGGGGGTCTGCTTGTGGACTCACATGGCATTACAGACAGATGGAAAGATTACTTTAGTAAGGTACTAAACGATCATGTAGCTGATCAATTTAATGAGTCTGAAGTACATAAAGTAGAGCCCTTCATCCCGGAACCGAGCCCTAATAAAGTTGAAATTGACATTGTTAAATTAAAAAGTTATAAGGTATTGACTCAATTCCAGCAGAATTAATTCATGCAGGTGGCAGGACACTGCACTCAGAGATACATAAGCTTGTAGTCTTGATGTAGTACCAGGAAGTATTACCACAACAGTGGAAAGAATCAATTGTTGTCTCTGTCCATAAAAGGGGGGACAAAACTGAATGCATTAACTTCCGAGGTATCTCTCTTTTATCAATGTCATACAAAATTTTATCGAATATTCTTCTGGCACAGTTAACGCCATTTATGAATGAAACTATTGGGGACAATCAATGTGGATTTTGCCATAATAGGTCAACTACTGATCAAATCTTTCGCATTTGACAAATAGTAGAGAAAAGGTGGAGTATAATGGGTCAGTACACCAACCATATGTGGACTTTCAAAAGGCATATGACTCAATTAGAAGAAAGGTACTATATGACATTTTGATCAAGTTTGGAATAACAAGATATTAAGATATGTACAAATGAGGTATCTAGTAGAGTTCATATAGGTACCATCTGTTTCATCCAGTCCCAGTGCACAATGGCCTAAGATGCTTTGTCCCTAATGCTTTTTAATTTTACTCTAGAACATGTCATCAAGAAGGTAAGAGAGAATCTAGAAGGACTCGAAATGAATTGTCTGCACCAGGTACTTGCCTATGCTAATGATGAAAATTTAATGGGGGAGGGTGTGAGTGCCATGTCCAAAAATGCAGAAAGTTTCCTACAGGCTAGCAAGGACATAGGCATAGAAGTAATTGTATACAAACCTAAATACATAAGCATAATACAGGATCAACATCAGAAAAAATGGTGGAACATAATTATAAGTAACACATCATTTGAAAATGTTTTGAAAATTTAAGTATCTGGGAACCACAATAACACATATAAATGAGGTCCATGATGAAATTATGAGTGTAATACATTTGGGGAATGCTTGTTTTTATTCCATTAAGAAACTGTTATCTCTTTTACTATCCAAAACACTGAAGATCAGGATATATAAAAAATAATTTTGTCTGTTGTCTTTTATGATTGTGAAACATGGCCTCTTACTTTAAAGGATTAACGTAGATTACAAGTGTTTGAAAACAAGGTGCTCAGGAGGATATTTAGACCTAGAAAGGATGAAATAAGTGGGGAATTTAGAATACTGCATAACAAGGAGCTGTGTGAATTGTACGGGTTACCTAGCATAGTGAGGATAGTGAAATCTAGGAGGCTCCAATGGACTGGCCATGTAGCATGCATGGAGGAGGCAAGGGGTGCATACAGAATTTTGGAAGGGAATCCTTCTGGAAAAAGACTGGGCAGACCAAGAAAGAGACGGGAGGATAATATCAAGATGGGTCTTAGGGAAGTAGGCTCCGAGGATGGTAAATGGATGGAGTTGACTCAAGATCATGGCTCATGGCGGACTTTGGTGTTGTCAGTGTTGGACCTGCAGGTTCTGTTACCAGGTAGTTAGTTAGTTATGGTATCATATTTAGAATTGCATTAGATGGGAATGAAAAGGGCAGATATCAGTATTTTAGAAAAATGGTAGTTTTATGGAATATCATTCTTTACGGGTATAACCATGAACTTGTATGAAACTTGCATATATCCCATACAAATCTAGCTTGCTGCAGTTCATCACTGTTTCACAAATTGTATGAAAATGTCACATGTCACTGACATGTGTTTTTTATAACTACAGTGGCAGAATATTGAACTACTGTTAACTTGAAATCAAACTCTACTAAACCCACACATACCTGTGCACGTGGCTTCCTAATTTCACAAGTTTTGCGTACATGTGTTTGGCGTAAATAACCTAAATATAACGCCACATTATATCCATATTGAAAAAGGCAAGCTATGAGACAACCCAGAAGAATATATTCCTATTTATTGAATTAAATCAATAACCACAATCTGACACTGCCTAGGAAGTGCATATTTTCTTCTGATATCTATCCTAACCAAAACAAATGTTACAATATTAACCTGTCAGAGGAAATTCCTTTGTGCCCTGTGACAGGGACTTTGGACTTATGGCCAAAATGTTACAAAAGAACACAATCTGTAAACAGCTACGGTATTTCTGTTTCTAGGGTCTAGAAAGTTAATGTTTTCTATTTAATGGTACTACATGTATGATAACACCTCTCAAAGTCAGCAGGAGAATTCATCAACACAGATTTCATTGATGGCTTCCATCATAAACAACTTCAGGGTTATTTCTGTCCCAAATAAAATGCATGATGAGTAAAATAAAAAAAATCCTTCCCTGATGTCACATGCCCCAAAAAAAAGTCAAAATAATAATAATAATAAGATTACAGAAGTCATGAAGTATACTGACCATGATCACCAAGATTTTTGAAATTTACTATGAGAGACAACTAGAAATGATTCTTTTAAAAATAATAATTGACTTTTCTTCCCTCTAAACAAAATGTGTGAAAAGAATGCATGTCAGAAATACAAATTATGTTGTCAGACTATTAATAGATATATATACACCATAGTTATTTTATTTATTTAGTGTTCTGTCTGACGACAGGTCCATATTAACAGGATCCTTCCATCCTTTTCTCGGACTGGGACCTGTTCATATACGTTCTTGGCAGATGATCCAGAAGTGGTTTGCCATTGCCTTCTTCTGTGTGTGAATGGAGTAATTGTTGGGATGCCACGGAGAAACCGGGGAAACTCCGTGTTGCCTAGACCACGGCCTTGCCCAACACAAGTTATAAATTCGGGCACCGCCGGGAATCGAACCCGAGACCCCAGAATTACAAGGCCAGTGTTCTAACCGCTAGACCACCGTGGCCACCTCATATACCATAGTAACAGAATTTAAAAAAGTGTATGTGTGCACGTAACTATTTAATCTTCCTTGCATGTACCTGAAAGCACCAACCATCTGTGTTGTGATGAGTGAGTGGAGCAAATCCTCGATGGAAGTGATTGAAGGTTGTAGACGTAAATATGATGTACTTTTTTATATCTTAAATTGAAAATAATGTTGTTTACTTTTTCATAATACAGGAAAAAACAAATTAATGAAATTTTGTACAAAAATACATGTAAAATCAAAGAGATTATGTTTGAAAACTCTCTGTCCACGGAAGAAAACGCAACGCTCCTCTTGTTACTAATGCCTACAACATAGCCTACCTGGGAGCAACTTGGCTGGATCAATTGGTTCCTTTATAGCCGTCTTTTGTCCACGATGATAGATGCTTGGAATATGTTCAACAATCTTCTGAAGCTCTGGGTTCTCTTTTCCAACCTGAAAGTTAAGAAATACCTCAGTTCTGAACTTAAAGGGTTATAAGACAAAATTGCCTAGTAATGTCATGTATGATTCAGAAATAGATATCTAGAAGGTTGCATACCAGTTAACAGTAGATATAAAATTTAATTCTAGAGCAGAACAGTCACTGAGTACCAAGGACAGAAGGTCAGAGCAAAGGGCCTAATTAAATACACAGAAGCACTATAATGTCATTTTAATGCCAGCCTCTCTGTCTCTATCCAAAATATTATGCAGAAACTCCTACTGAATTTTGAAATCAGAATTGTTAATTATAAAACATAAATATATCCAAAAGAAAGAAGAAATTATCATAATAAAATAAAATAAATTAAATTAATCTTTTGTCAATACAGTGGATTCCGGTTAATTGGGACACATCAGGACTAGAACACTTTGGCCCTATAAGGGGCTGCCCCAATTATGTAAAGAGTTAAAAAAAGTTTGTTCTTTAAGATTTGTCCTGAATAAACGGCTGCCCCGATCAACCGATGGCCCAATCAACCGGCATCTTCTGTATTTGTCTTTTGGGTTGTAATGACATGTAGGTAGATACCAATGTTTCAGAGAAAAATACTGTTTCTGGAATGTTTGCATCACCTCTGTGAGATCTTTAAATGTATTCTTTAGATTAGTCTAGTTTTCTTTCAGATTCAGTGTCTTAAATTTAATTGTCCAGGAATAAAAGATTACTGCCTTGGTTGTTGTTTTTATCTATCACCAGGAGACAGTTGCATGTTGCAATACAAAGTGGCGGACATGTAAGCTATGGTGGATCAATCTGATTTTATGCATTTTCTAACCACTGACAATCAATATTTTGGAATTTTCCTGAAGGAAAAATTTAATAAGGAAACTCTGATATTTCAAACTACGAACTTGAACCATAAAACTCTTGATCTCATGTCACATGAACCGAAATGATAGCAGAGTGGCACAGGAAGTTACATGATTCACTCAGTAACACCCATTCCGAATATTTTCTATAGACATTCCAAAGTGTCACCAAGCTTGTTAACTTGATTACAGTAACTGGATTGAACTGCTGTAGCATGCTGAGAACTTCCTTGTGAAAGTTCAATTTTCAAACATTATTTACAAAATTGTCTAATTCCCATGTTAGATTAGATTTATGAGTAATAATGCCAAACAGGATCCCCAAATTTCTAACCTTTCTCTTTTAGAAACCTTGCTGCCATGGTCTGTATTTACAAATTACATCAATGACGAAGGTGCTTTTGCAATTGAAATGCTACAATTTCTAGCTCTTTTGTTTAGGCCACTAGCTTCATTTTGAAATAATGTGAAGTTATAAATAGGTTAGGAAGTGGAGTGCTTAAAGTAGTGTCCATCTGTCTTATAATTAACAAACAAAAAGAAAAAAGATATGTCTTCAAAACAAAATGTAGAAATAAGAAAAGAAAACATCACAGACAGAAACCATGAATGGCAAAATGTGCACAGTTTTATTGCCTTCAGCAATGCAATACAATGCACATGCATGAGCAGCAATGTGATGCTGTTTGTCTTCCAGCCACATTCTACAATTCTGGTGCAGTGACTTAATGTTGCTTGACTTTATGCTTTGTGGTTGCATAAATTATACTGTGTATGCCAAATAAGTTGACAATTTGCAGGATTTTGGCACAGAAACTCAGCAGCATAGTAACCGTGACATATGCATTAATGATATAAGCTTCAGCTCAGATCATCTCAGTGTTAGCAAGGCTGTGAATGGAACCCACATTATTCACAGAATTCTTTCTCAGACACTACAATTTCCTAAAAATTGTATGAAATATATGTCCGGTTTTGTGTGTTCATTGGCTGAGTACTAACTGAAATCTTCATCAAAAAACTTTTATTCAGCAGATCACAAAAATTTCTACACTTATGGTATCTGATGTTTCAAAACCATTTTCTGCTGCTGACTCTGTCCCTAGACAGATAAATCACATTTTTTAAAGGTTAGGTTTCATTTTAAACATTCTACACTTAGGTCTCCCACGTTTTAATTCTTCCCTTTATGATTTTCCAGTAGAAATTTTGCTTGAGCTTTGTCACTTCCCCCTTGCTTAGCAATGTGAGATACTTGCTGAACAAACATAGTTTCCATTTCGATTAATAATATCATAAGACATACCTTAAGAAGGACACCCAAAACAGCAAGACCATCAGCAAAAGCAGCTGCCTCACCACAGTTGGCGTACTTGTTCTTGTTCCAGTGCACCAAGTGAAGCTGAAATAAAAAAATAAACAAAACATCACACACCAGTACCTGCTCAAAATAATTTTCAGCATTAAGAATTATTCTGATTTCCACATTAACGCAGAAGGTAAATTATGTTCTACTTATATTCTTCTGGGCTTTCATTGAAAGTTTATTAAATTAGCACAGAGAATACAATTTCAACCACACTGAATCAACGATTTTCCTGTTACGACTATATAACCACACTTTTCGGATCTTTGTTACTGTTTCTCGCCGGTTTGCCCAGCTCCAGCTGCGCTTTGATTCCTGGTGTCGTACTAATTGCGTCTGCACTTTTTCCTCGTTATGTTAATTTGGTAATTGGGCATTCGCGAACTTAGTTCCCATATCGCTTGGGTATTGCTCGCTGAGATAGATAATTTGTGTCTGGTTTGTTGTTCTAAGCTGTTGGAAGATACTGAGGTTACTTTGTGTCATAGCGTACGCGAGACTGTTGGTATGAATGGTGTCGGACTGGCTTGGAGTGTAGGGTTCTGAAGGCCTGTTCTGTCACAGATAAATGCAGCTGGTTTTAAGGTGCGTTGCCCTTTTAATCTTTCCAGATGCGGTTAAGAGAATTGTGATTATCCACTTACGGTAAAATTTTCTTCTCCAGCCGCCGAAACTTGTGGATGAGCTCCTAGCAGCATTAGTACTCTGCCACAACACGCCTCCTTTCTCCGGCGACTTCCCTGTCAAATGCTGTTACCTGCTGACAGACGAGGAAGTTCTGCTTTCGCAACCTAGTAACGATCTCTCGCTTGAAACTAATTAGCGGGCTGCCAACCTCAAAATCGTTGTCTCGTCTTGGTCCTGGAGAATTTACCTTCTACCACGTGCACAGGCCCATTACAGTGGCCGTGCGATCTGAGGCGTGGTCATTGTACGCTTGGACACTGGGACCGTGGATGTTTGTCCGCATGTTTCTGTATTGTGCTGTCTTGTGTAGAGGCCTTGCGATGGGCTGATCACGCGTCCAAGCAGTCCTACCAAATGTCTAAAGAGGCGGCCAGGACCCACACTGGGTTGTAGTCAGAGATGAGATGATCAAGTACATAGTGCGGATTTCGGAGCCATAGATCCACATGAGCACCTGGTGGGCGTGGAACTCAAAATACAAAACTCCTATGTCCTACGCCAACATATTGCAGCTGCCTCCTTCAAACTGGACAAGGCGTAGCACTCCATGGTTATGCTCAGGACGGCCATCTGTTCCTTTCGAACGCCATCCAGGACGGTTATTTATATGCCCGTCTCAGCGAGGTTTTATCTATGCGATATCCTCAAGAAAATAGAGTACCACAAGGTTTTGGTTTTCTTTGTATTTACATAAGTGGAATGAATTAGTTTCCATCTACATTTAAGTCCTGCTGTAAGGCTGGTGACGCAACGGGATTCTTGAAAGACCCCGACTCGGCGAACTGGTGGAGAGTATTTTGCTGGGAAAGGTGCTGAAAATGTCGTATATCACAATACTTGGCTGATATCAGCGGTTACCTCAGTGGTCCATTCCATAGAATCGTCTTAATGGACAATCAACTTCCCCTCATATATTCTTCACATTTGCTGTAAAACTAATGGATCGGTTCGAAATCACACACCGATGAAGCAGAGACCTTTTTTTATATGTTTTTATGATCATAGTATCTTCATTGATGAACCATTTGTCATTTTAACAGATCCGTTGAACACCATTAGTGTTTTGGTGTTCACGTTTGTGTTTGAAGACTGCATGTAGTGGTATATAATTGAGTCCTTTGCCGTTCCCAATGCAGTCTTCGTCTATTTTCCTCACATGTTCTGGAATCTAAAATTCTTCTAGGAATTTGTTGTGCTCCAGGCGAAGATCAACTGTTTTTCCATATGCGGGAGTCTCATGTTAGAATTCATAAACACAGTAGTCTCATTTCCTTGGAACCAGAAACCGTCCCCACTGGTTTCTGACGGTTTATTGCTTGAACTTTGTTTCCTTTCTTCTTGTGTCCTAGGAAAAAATGTGATATTCTTGGATTTCTCAGAACGTACATAGTCGTTACGTAACGAATTCTGTGTGCTTTGGAAAACCGATGTAAGCGCCATTGGATAACTTCTCGAAAAGGCCTCTGACATTTTCTGTCACTACTCACCTTTAATTTCATGTTCTAAAGAGTGGTGGTTCCTCTACTACTCGCTTTTCCAGGATGAAGGAACAAGCGAAACCATTATTTCTTATTAACATATAAATCTATTTAAATTCAAGATCATCCAGCTTAATATCACCTGCTAATTCCTCAAATCTTACAACTCCAATGTTCTTTATGAACAAAAGTAAATTGATAGCAAATCCTCTGTCGTATTTCGCAGCGCTGAACACGTGATTCTTGTCTTGAATTAATTAACACTTGACTGGAGTTTCACTTCAACAAATATTATTATGTTGGGCCATTATTGATTCCCTGAATATCAAAGTTCTCCCAGTGCCGTTCTAGGTCTCATAATCGTACCAATCCTTCACCGCACTGCTCTTAGATCCGCTGTCGAGTAAAATTCTTACAGTTTGCTCTTGATATCGTGGCCGTTGAAAGTTGAACGTAATATAAAGATCAATTTTAAGTGGCGTACATGTCTATTATCTCTGACGTAAATTTGCATCCTGTCCTCACTACTGACCAACGTGTCCGTCGTGGGATGAGGTGAGTTGTGAGCTCCTACCGTTCTATATGTAGCCCTGTCTCGAAGCTTACTTTCATCCGGATGTAAACAGTGTGATGTTTCCATTCACATTTTCTACATCCACCAAAACACATGTTGCTACCCTGTTACCGCTGTGTAAGCAGCTGAACACATGTAATGCATGCAATTCCTTATGTTTCTGACATCAACATTGGAAAATTCAGAACTTCATGTTGCTACCCTGTTACCGCTGTGTAGGCAGCTGAACACATGCAATGCACGCAATTCCTTATGTTTCTGACACCAACATTGGAAAATTCAGAACTCTTCTAAAGACAGTGTCCATTCTCAAAATAATTTTCATTCACGTCAATGTGGAAGAATTGCTCGAATTGCTTGATTCGAACCGAATGTTTTTATATTTTACAGAACGTCTTTCATTACTAAAAAATTCTGTGAACTGATGTGGAATGTTTCCCCCCCTTAAAGTAAATTCTCAGATGTGTCTCATCCTGGCGGAATTCTATGTATAGATTTCCACTGAAGAATCTTCTGAAAGCGAAGTTTCAGTTTATATCGCCTTAAGTAAATCACATTTGCTGACAAAAGTATTTTATCTCAACAATTCATCTGCATATTGCATGTGCAACAGCGCTATGACGTGAGTTACAAATGTGAAGCTGTTGTTTACAACCATCACATGTGAGCCAGCTCACATTTTCCATCACACTGAGAAATGTTAACAACAGAACTTTGAGGTCGCTTCTTTACAAATGCTGCGAGTTCCTGAGAACAGTTCTCTTGAGACCCGTTTGGTTCTCCCGACGTTAAAGACGGAGTTCAGGCCTCGTGTTCTGATTCCAATAAAGTATCTATTTCATGTCTTCTTGCACTTCTATTTTAATTTTACCTTCACACTGAACCTTCGTAGCATCATTATGAAGTTACAGACTTCGCAGAATATCTTAGAATTTACCCCAAGTAGTTATCAAACTTGTAAGTCTGAAACTCCCGTGTAAATATTTGTGTTTGTCTCTTTAATTTGCTCTTACTGCACGATGTGAAAATATGAAGTAATGGATACTAAATAGTACTTGGGCCTAGTTAGAACCCAATCCCTTTCTGTGGACTTTTGAAGTTCGCCTAGGCGTCTCTTTGTTCTGGGCAGTCCGCCTGTGTGTGTAGCCGTAACTCCTATCCCTGGCTGTAGCAGCTTGTCTAATTATGACTGACACAAGTATAACTCGTGCACTTCCGCGAGGTCACTGCTACAGAAAGTCAGTGAATCAGTGCATTGCCGTCTCCTCTGTGCACTAAACAATAACTGTAAGCTTTCTCGCGAAAGCTGGAGTATGCCAGTATTCGAACGCACCCTTGAGGGTACACCTGAACTAAACTTACCTCGCCAGCAAAGGGCTGGCCGTCGACCGTATGTTCCGACCCCTTGTCGCTCTGGAAACCCCAGTGACAGTGAAACTGTTGCAGCCTATAGGAATCCTCGAGAGGACCACCGATTAGTTCTGCAATATAATCCATTGCTTAACACATGTATATTAAAATGAATACACATTCAGTCCCGAATTCAGACAGTCCTTGGAACACATCTGATCGGTACTTTATGACATCAAGCTATCCCCTCATATAATCAGATGTAACTAAGACTGAAAGCACGCAAATTGTAACCCTTATAGCTCCAACTTCAAAAGGAAAAAATAAAGCAAGGATTCAAATACAGAGATCAGATGATAACTATATTCTTAATAAAATACCTCGACGTATCATATTTCATCTCACAAATCATGCAAGGTATAGGTTTCTATCTCTTTCAGAAAGCAACCTTCCCTGAAGTTCGAAAGCACATGAACTTTCGTTGTTCTGGGATCTGCCCGATTGACAATGATCATATTCTTCGACTACGTAACTGTCATAAGAGGGCAAGTATCCGAGATTACACGTATCCTATCTTAATCCGAACTTCTAACTGAATGCATCCTGTCAATGATAACGCGATAGGATGTGAGACATCACAAGGACCAACAGTTCCATCAGCAGCTACACTCAAGTTCAGAGTTTTAAACTCGCCCTATTCTTCTCCTGAAGGCAGAAATAACAACTGATAGCATTTTGTGGCTACTTTGCAAAAAGTACATAAAATAAATGCATGGTGATGTGGTGTCTGAATGTCTGCATGTTACACACTTAACGCAAAGGATCTGCACAATTCTGTATTCGAGATTCAGACGACTTTAACTTTGGTTCGTTCTAGTTCACACGTGAAACCAGGTCAAACATACACTTTATCAGAAACGACCCACGTTATCTAACACCGGCTGCAGTAAGATCCACAAGTTTTATATCAGGCATTTCTCGATACGAAATACAAGGACAACTATTTCTGACCGAGATGTTTAGTGTGATTCGCTTCTTAAACAAAATATCTATATTTTCAACAAATACGCACCAAGACGAATGACTTATGCTAAATCGCAAATAGCCATTTGCAAAATATATATACCCCAATGGAGCACACCTTTTAATTCCTCTTTGCCGAATACTCGTTAAAATGTCTTCGGAAAAATTGGACAATTACTTGCTTTTCAACAATCTGATATTTCTCTACTTACAGCTTATACACAACTGTAAGTTACTCAAAGCACATGATTATTTAGTGTTCTGTCTGACGACAGGTCCATATGAACAGGATCCTTCCATCCTTTTCTCGGACTGGGACCTGTTCATATACGTTCTTGGCAGATGATCCAGAAGTGGTTTGCCATTGCCTTCTTCTGTGTGTGAATGGAGTAATTGTTGGGATGCCACGGAGAAACCGGGGAATCCCCCGGAGGAAAACTCCGTGTTGCCTAGACCACGGCCTTGCCCAACACAAGTTATAAATCCGGGCACCGCCGGGAATCGAACCCGAGACCCCAGGATTACAAGGCCAGCGTTCTAAATTGCTCATGAAGCTTTGCCCGCTTGTTCCATCCTTAGGCATCTACTAATATCTGCAGCAAATAAACACCAAGATACAAATTACGTAGCTACCGTCAGACTAGATGTTCTTACCGGAGCCTTCGCCTTTGACGTCGACCCGCCAGCCATGACCAGTGTTGATAATCTCGCGAGTGTTTTCTGGGACGTATTTCCAATTGAGAGGCTTCGACGTCAGGGAAGTGTCAGATGTAGCCAATGACGTCACAATGTCTACAGGTGACTGACGACTCCCTGCAGCCGTTGGGAAATTCTTAACCCATGTGGACGGCCCTGAAAAATTACATTATTATTATTCCATCTATTCACCACTTTATAGGGTATTTACTTCTATGTACCAGAGACAAACCTTGCCCCTGAGGTACATAGTGCAGAAGCTATTTCCGAAATACATTTTGTTTTTTGACGTAAATACGTCTATAAGGAAGGACCATTCGGCAAAAAAGTGTAATGAAAAAGGGAAACGAAAAAGTGTAACAAGTGTACCTAGGGAACGTCGTGTTTACTCGGAATTGTTGTTACCTAGGAAACGTGGCATTACATTTCATTACATTAAATTAAAATACATTACATTTCATTACATTACATTCAGCTACCACTGACCCATGTTAAGCGTAACTAATTCTAGTTGAATAAGCAAAGTCTTAATCAAACTTATCTCAATTGTAAAGCATGTATAAAGGAAATATTTAGAATAAATCCAATATATAAACTTCCTTTCCGTAGAGACGTATTTACGTCAAATTCTCCGGAACCTTGGTTACACTGTAACTTTTAATACGTGTTACATGCATTAAACAGATTTCGCGTCAGTCGTTATATATTATTATTATATTAGGACAAGATTAAGATGCATCAGGGGGAAGATTGTGATGACGAAAGACGGGAAGACGTTTACAACCTCTTCTACCTATGCGCTGTTTACAGTTCAACACGGGCAGTCTTGAAGATGAGCCAACAGTCCTCGTGTCTTTCCGTGCAGGTTGTAAGAATTTCTGTTGGCAGAAGTAGTTCTTGCACCTGTCCAAAGTATCGTGGGAATCTGCAAACTGTATCACCTTTCTCAACTCGTAATATCTCCAACTAATTAGGAATATTTTATTACCGCACTTTTGATGTTCTGTGTGCAAACTTATGAAATTTGCGTCCTCTAATAGAAGAGACTTAGTTTCGCCATTTGAACCGAAGAAGGAAAGGAACAGGTTTTACTGGTTCCAAACGCAAATCTTTATTCTTCTATTACATTTTACCCAGTTTATTTAATTATGCATAAGCTATAGAGCATCGAGCGGAGGATAACTGAATCATCAATAACAGAAAAACGTGGATTGATTGAATGAATGATAAATTCAAGCATCGAGCGGAGGATAACTGAATCATTAATAATAGAAAAACATGGATTGATTGAATGAATGATTAATTCGTTTGTAACCGCTCAGAGCTTGCGTTTAAGAACAGCGAGTTATTGCCTTTATTTTGAAGTGTCTTGCGGCTACATTGGAAGAATAAACAGTTCACAGCCGATTCCTTCTAATTAAATTCCCAATCTATCATTCACAAATCATACTACAAGATATTTTACTTGAAACGAATTCATCCTCAACACCTTCATGCACGAAACGACCAAACCAATGACAATATTGCATTCATGTAGACGTATCCCGTTGTCACAGCTGATGTACGGCTTGAATTCGGTACGGTGGTTTTCTGTTACCTTATTCGATACTTCAGCGTCTGGATACGCTTTGCTAAATGCTGTACGAACAGATGAACATAATTTCGATACGAAGTAATGTTTGAGCATGAACACATGTGTACACCGTGTTCGTATCTCCACAGTTTTTGCACAAGTGGCGTGAACAGCAGCCTAACAACGAAGATGACCTTGATTCAAGTGTTACGCTGGAGATTTGGGAGTGTCTATTACACGCGGGTAAAACTGCTTGTGATTTAATTTGTTTCTGGAGTACGTCATTGTTATTAAGTTGCTGGAAACCATAATTACAGCTGCAAGCAAGATGATTAATTTTATGATGCAATAAGCCACTACAAGCAAACCCCCACCACAGTGATAAGGGTTATGTATCGCTGGAAGGTATTTCGACACTGACAGACACTTTTAAAAGCGTGTCAATGTCGTTCATGCGTGAATTGTTCGCACTGAAAGGCATGCCATTTCCATGAGCGATGTCAATAGCCTATCGTTTTTTGCTTATCGCTTATCGCCTGCCTAAATTTAGGCTAAATATTTTCACACACAACATCCGTCACCACTACTTATCTAGAACGACAGCTTCGAGCAGGCTGCCTAGGTAGCTGAAGAAATCCAACGATCTATTTAAACAGTCCGAGATCAAAATATCGCTATCGCTCTGAAGCCCAAACTTACATAAGATGGCTAGTGACAGGCACTTCAACATGAAATGTATTTATAAGACAGATTTGGAACGTATTGTAATGCCTCTCCTTCCATTTAAACGCTGAATGTCAATTCTGTTGGCAACGCACATGACATTTGTATTAACTTGGCCTTGAAGTTTAGTGGCTTAAAAATCACATATCACATTTATAGCAAAATTATCATCCAAGAAGAAAAGTAATTTCGAACCAAGAACTGTGCTAAAGTAACTAATTATTGAACCAACTCCTTGGTAACATAACTCCGAAGATTGGACCCCGCTAATACCAAAGCTCATCTCTGGAAAAAAAACGTTTAGAACCGGCTCCATGCACCTCCCATCCTCACAACCAACTTCCATAAGATTCATCTTACTAATTAATTAACGAACCCACAGGCCGCCACTATGTTTTCATAAGATCCATCTCAGAATAATATAAGAATATGAATTTTGATAATTTTCAAAAATTTTCTAGTAACTTTCTTATAATCTATTTTAGTTAAAATTTTTATTTGAACCAAGTATAGTTGTTTATTATTTTATCAATATTTATTTAATACTGTAGATTATTATGACATTTAAAGTCTATACGATAAGTTGTGTCTCAGCATGTTTACCGACGTCTCGTTATCTGTTCAGTTAAAATCAAACAAAACTTACACACCTAATAACACAAGCCGTGAAGATTGACAATCAGCCTCTATGTAATTTCGAGGTTAAAAATGCGTTCACTTTAACTTTATACTTATTTCACTCGTTTATGGCGTAGTAACCATGGATAATATTGTAAATAATTCTTTGTTAGACACCGACAGTACGGTCTGCAAACATAGTTACACCACAGACCTGATGATGGGGAGGTAGTCCCTGAAACGCCAATGATTTATAACCAACTGACACGGATAATAGCCCTAGAAGATTTGAATAATGTAACCCCTTACCAATGACAACGAAAAACTTAAATTTTGAAAGTTCCTGAGATCAAACTCGCCAACATACAAGTATGTGAAAACAGTTGTCCAATGTAGACAAAATTCGGAAATTATGGCTCAAGAATTGCCTTTATGCTCTTAAAAGCTTTTGAAATCTCGGTGCAGAAATCCTGAGAACCACTCTTAATAATACAGGTAGGAAGGCAGGTGATATTTCTTCCGATGAGAAGGGGAGTTGAAACATTGGACTGTTGAAACGCCTTCTACACAAGCAACGCGCGTCCTACGACCATAACCGTTGCAGATCAGCTTAAACTACATACAGACGGCCATTGTTTGATGCGACGTTTCGACATTACAGACGATGACATCATCAGCTGTCATCGCGGAGGATCTGACTTTGAAGATTTATCACGTTGGTATTACTTATTGCAGGGAACTAAAATGTACGAGTTTGGACTAGACTCCAATGACATAACATCCATATAAAATTTTATCACGATCTGTCCACCAATTCTATAGTGAACGGACAATGATGCAATTACGAATAATGACGTCATCTTGTGCGGAGACTGTCATCACAGAGGGTCACGGTAATGGAGTCTTCGTGGAAGATTATCCTCACACTTCACGATTTTGAGCATAAGTCATGTTGGTATTACCGGCTGTAGGAAGTTAGAAAATACTATACTGGAGTAGCATCCAATTGAATAACGCCCATACCATATTTAATGAAAATCCATTCGTACGACCACGACTTAGATAAAAGACGCGACAGACAGACGGACAGAACGTTTCCATAAGGTGTTCTTCTCTTACGCTAAAGCGTGAAGGTATACTTAAAATGAAGACACTGAATAGTAATTTGAAAATAATGTCAACAGTGAAGTTCATTATTGAATGTAAGGCTTAAAATGAAAATAAGCACACCAACTGTTCCGTAAATGTATTTTGTCTGCCCATGCCCTATTTTTCGTTCCTAAATCCCAAAAATGGAGTATAAAACAGAGAAAAATTGAGGATTAGGAGTCACTGCGGGATCGGCGAGCCAAATGAGCAAGGATGGAGTAGTAACAACAAAGTACGAGTTTATACAGAATGTGCCAGAAATACCTGACGGTATTTGAAATGTAATTAACATCTTTCCCTCTATGCTACACTTCCATACTAATATTCGTCATGTAGAGTGTTTTTTAGTGTTTATTTTAGATGGAGCACTGGTCAATTGTAACACCACATAGTTCTGCACATTTGCGGACCTGAAATTCCACAGACGGAAACATTTGTTTGGCACGAATTACACGCAACATGCACGAATATACTATTATATCGTTCTTTGTTCACTTTTGATGCTGCTTTGAGTCTACAAAGACAAACGCTGTCAGCGAAGACCTCAATCAGCAGTTTCATGCGTCAATTTTAAAGTCAGACATTATCAGTCTGAGAGCTTGCTTAACTTAATCAGAAGAATATTTATTCCTGTCAAACACGAGTTCGTCAGCAGTACGATTCGCTTCAATATTACATTAAAAGATAAAAACATAAAGCTGTCCCACCATGCGCCATGTAGGCGCTTGGGGGGGATAAAACAACATGGGATTACAATGTTCAGAACATCAGCTATTAAAATACTTCAAGAAAGCCTTTGATTCAGTTGGAAGGGACGGGCCATGTAACATGTCTATTAAATTTGGTATCCCCATGAAAACAGTTACGCTAATTACATGTTTAATCAAAAACTATAAAAAAAAGCCGGTACAGATAAATAACTGCATCATGCATTTGCTATTCACAATTGCCTTAAATATGTATATGATTTATCACCATCGCGTCTCAAATTTGATTTACAAATCGCAATTAGAAAATTTCAAGAAAACAGAGAAGTACTGTAATTGAGTAGGATACATCATATTTTTATATACTGTTTACTTCAATCTCTTGG